CTACAAAGTCGCCAGTTCTCATCTTCCAGCTCCCCAGATACTCCGCGCACTAAAGTTGCACTACAAAGTCGCCAGTTGCTACTTGTTACTTTGCACCCCTTGTTTTTTTTACTGTTCGTTTTGTTGGATATGTGGTGTTGCGTCGTGCTTCGTTGCTTTGAGTTGTTTGCTTGGGCCATTTGACAGTACAGAACATCTGACAAAGTCTTGCACAAGAGTGTCCTCACAACAGTCGCTCAAATGTCAAGCAAGACTGTCCCACAAGAGTGTCATGGCAAGAGTGTCACGTAGGTATGTCTTCAGAACTTTGCAGGGGTGGCTTGTAAAGAGGGCACAGGGGGATCCATACGGAGCCAATCACAGGGACCAAGGATCCATCCCAAAAGTCTTTTGGTGTAAGGACGGTCGATGCCCTTTGCTCCCAGTAGCGAGCATTGTTCCTAGTAGTAAGGCCAGGAGCCCCTAGTAGCGTCCTTTTGTTCCTAGTGCATGTTGTCTTTGAGTTTTCGTTGGTTGTCGTGAGGTGTGCATGTGTGCAAGTGTTTGCGGCGTGAGCGGCTGGTTGGCTGGTGGGTTTATTGGGGGTTGTTTGTTTCCTTGTTTGAAACATATTGACAATTGGTTGTGTTATTCGTGGGTTCAAGTTTGCAGTTTGCTTTCCGGTTGCGGTTGTGTTTGTGTGTGCTTGTCCTTGTTTTTGAAGCTGATCACTGTTGGGATGAGCACACATTTTTGGTTCGTTCAAGCTGGCCAACCTCCCGAATCTGAAGTGTTTCTAATGTTATATTATGTGACCGTGCTCTAAGTGCAAGGCTGAAATCACTGGCTGTCTCGCCCATTTATATAAGCACCGTTTTAAACAAGCTGTTTTTGTGAACATCCTTGGTTGCTTGTGGAGGAGCCAGCAGCGGTGGAGATGACGAGGAGGGGGAAGGGGGGACATGACAGGTGAGTCCAAAGGACCGAAAAACAAGGAGGAAACACGTTTCAAATAGTTTCTTGTTCCTAATAGTTTCTTGCTCCTAGTAGTAAGGCCAGGACCCTCTAGTAGCGTCCTTGCTCCCAGTAGCGATGCCAGGAGCCCCTAGTAGTTTCTTGTTCCTAGGACTTAGACCCCTTTACCTTGATGTTTGATGTTTCATTTGTCCGGGTGTGGCGCTCGGGTTTCGGCGATTTCGGCCTCGAAGGTCTGGGAGTTGGATTGGAGCAGTGCTTTTTGAGAGACGCGCGGCACTCCAGTTCCTATAGGACGGTCACAGTGCTCGAATCGCTTGTAGTAACAGCAGAAGCTACGAGTAACAACGGCATCGCTACCAGTAACGAGGGCATTACTACTAGTAGCTAGAAGCTACTAGGTTGGAGGCCATCGCTAGTAGTTCAGCGCTTGTGATCTTCAGCGCCTTCTGTCTTTCTTTGCGCACACCAAACTCGACGGCGTGTTGTTCCGCAGCCGAGGAGACGCGCAACGTGAAGAGAATGGCGCTGATCCACAGCAGGTTCCTGCAAGGGTTGACACTGGAAATAGTTGACACCAGACCCTCTGGTAGTGGTGTTGTGTGCAAAGTCACTTGCCTGTTTCACCTCTCAACATTGTAATTTTCCAGACAAGATCTTCTCGCAGCCCCAAAGCTGTGGATGCGACCGGCGGGATTGTCCCAACAAATGTCAGCGCTCCAAAAAGTGTGTTTGGAGTGTTGTGCCAGACAATCAGGTCTCAGAGTCTCAGATTGGTAGATATCACGTCAGAGATCAGAGACCTGAGCCAAGACAAGTGAAGTATGTAGTTGCCCAGTGGATGCTTCGTTGAAGAAAGGGGATGAATTGAAGTGTCCATCACTATTTGAGCCTGGCCTGGGGTGTAAATGGATGGGAAAAAGAAGAAGATTCTGATGAAAATCATGAAAAAGACGGAAGTGGAAGCTTGTTGCCAAACATGGGTGCAAAGCAAAGAGTAAAAACTCCTCAATTCTTCGGGCACTAATACAGCAACTTGGCGACTAGCACATCTAGCACTCTGGTTTCCGCCGGAGCAGGTGAACAGGTCAAAACAACATTGTCAAACACAAATAGAAATGAGTCCTCAGTCCTCTTTTTTTGTGGGGACAGGTACTCACACACTGACTGCCAATCAGGTACAGAATTCAATGTGTTTTCTATTCAACGTGAATGTTCTGATTTTTCTCGGAACCCATTCAACTCATTCTTGCCGCAGGACAGGCATTTTGGATCTCAGGGTGCACATGTCGCACCTGTCATGCTGAGCATGCTCTTATACTGTCCAACCAAGAATCTCGAATGATTCAGTCAGATGTGGGGATGGGCCAATGACGTGACACAAAGAATGCATGTAGAAACCAATGGAATACGGTTTATCTGGACTTGCATCTGGCCAGCACTGAAGCTGGGCGCCCATAACGAGCCATGGAAGATTTGGAGGCTCAGGCCAAAGAGATGGCAGAAAAGACCCTGCCAACAAGTCTTCCGGCTGCTGCTAGGGCAGCAAAGCTTCCAGCGATCACACAAAAAATATTTGAGAGATTGAAGAAACAGCGTGAAGAGTCAAAGCTGAAAGAAACTGAGGGATTCAAAGCGACGAGCACACCCGGGCTGTCCGGCGGTGGGCCGCTGGTTGGGGGTGTAGAAGCGTCGCCAGCGCCACCCCCACCCCCAGTCCCACCTCCGCCTGAAGTACTTCGAATTCCCAAAGTCGAGCTTTTTGGTGATGAATTATGGTTTGATGATCCAGAGACGCGAAGAAGATTACGCGATTCGGTGATTGAAGCTCACAGAGAAGAAAAGATTCTTGTCGGAGCTCCTGCAGACGAGGTCGAGCGGATCTGTCCGTCAAATGGACGGGTCCTAGGTGCTGGAGTGGCTTGGAGGAACTGTCGACATGCTTTGTTAGACCCATGTGATCACCGTTCAGTGTTCAATTTTTTCCTGGAGTGGCTGAGTGGATACCTATAATTAGATACATTTTTTGAAATTGGGTGTTTGAGATTACCTGGACCCCACTACAAGGAACATATCTAAGTGATGGTCTGTTTGCATACCTAGGGGATCACAATAAATGAGCGCACACAAGACCAAAGGTGAATTACAGTGATGTCAACCCTCAGTAGTAGCTATCTAGATTCTTTTGTGTCGCCTTTTTCTTCTTTGTCTCTTGCCAAGAAACGGTCAAGAAACGAAAGAAAACAGCAAAAAAAGCGCAGCTTTGCTAACGCTTTACGACCTCACGGAGACTCCCAAAGCCTCAGCCGACCACCCAAAGCACCTCACCCTTGGAATGTGATTCAAATTTCAACGTGTCACCTTTGTGTGTAGTGTAGGTGCATCCTGCCAACCAACAAAGCCTAGGAACACGATATAACTCATGACTCCTTGCAAAGGTGGACTTTTGGCCAGAAACGTTCCAAAGTTGCACCCTGTGTGCACGAGAGCAAAACCACACTTTTTCACGAAAGCTAGCATGCTAGCTGAGTTCTTCTTTGCTTTAGCAATGTTGTGGTGGGAGGGGCTGCGTGCCTTAAAGATTGATATATCAAGCTAACCCCCCCCCCCCCCGCGGTTCAACTCCCAGCTGCGCCGTGTAGGGGGTTGGTTGAACGTGGTTGGTTGGGTGTAAACGGTGGCTTGGTGTAAAGGGTGCTGCTGCTGCTGCCGCTCTGCTGCTTGCTGCTGCTGTTTGCTGCTGCCTCTGGTTGCCGCTTTTGTAGCTGCTGCTTTGCTACTTGTTGCGGCTGACGACGCCGCTGCTACTGCTGCTTGCTGCTTGCTGCTGCTGCTTGCTGCTTGCTGCCGGTGGTGCTTGCTGCCGGTGGTGCTGCTGCTGCTGCGGCTTGATGCTGCGCTGCTGCTGCGTGGTGCTGCTGGCTGGCTGCTGGTTGGTGGTTGCTGCTGGCTGCTGGCTGCAGGCGGCTGCTGCTGCTGCTGCTGGCTGCTGCTTGCTGCATAGGACTTGTACTTCACCGTTACAAGTTGTTTACCCCTATTTCTAACCTAATGCATGCATAAGCGGGTGGTAAATTTACCCCCCAGGCTTGCTATAACCATACACCGGCTATTTCCTCAAGACACTCTATTCTTGATACCTTTTACCAGTGCTTATCCTACACTACGGACGCCCTAGTGTATGCACAGTCCTTGTGATGCTTACCCCTCGTTCCGGCTCAAGGCATACATAAGCGGGGGGTAAATTTACCCCCCAGATTTGCCATAACCATAAGCCGGCTATTTCCTCAAGACACTCTACTCCTTATACCTTTTACCAGTGCTTATCCTACACTACGGACGCCCTAGTGTATGCACAGTCCTTGTGATGCCAGAAATGCCTACCCCTCTTTCCAGCACAAGGCATACATAAGCGGGGGGTAAATTTACCCCCCAGATTTGCAATAACCATACACCGGCTATTTCCTCAAGACACTCTATTCCATATACCTTTTACCCGTGCTTCTCCTACACTACGGACGCCCTAGTGTATGTACAGTCCGTATGATGTCAGAAATGCTTACCCCTCTTTCCGACTCAAGGCATACAAAAGCGGAGGGTAAATTTACCCCCCAGATTTGCCGATCACGCATCTTCGTGCCTGCCAACGAGTGCACCCGGGTTGTTCCAATGTACCCTTCCCAGTCAGCGATGTCACATTTACATTCTTTAGCGCAAAGTATGTACATAGCAACCTTCCTCCCAAAACATGTAATCCCTACATGCTTTGCCGACTATGTAACTAGTACATCCGGTGCGATTCGGCTAGCTTTCGACCTCTCCCCCTGGCCTCAAGTCATCCCAACCTTGGTCTTTATTTTGTCCCTTTTCCCGAAAACATTGAACACCTAAAGGGAGAAAATCACCCAGCCGACACCCACCCCTTAATGAAAATTCCAGTCCCCCACCCTCTGATTCAATTATCCTAGGCGCACAGGTTTTTCTACGTGTATGTGCCTATGGAAATTCTAAACACATAATATGTTGAAAATTGTGGAACACAAAAAAAGAGGACTTCCGAGTTTGCGTCAACGAGTGCCCTTTTTGCCCAGGCCAGTAGATTCGAGGATCGCCAACTACCAGAATTTTGAGATTAGGCCCATCCCGATTTGGTGGTTTACTGAAATATATAGCTATGGCGCAATATTTTCAACCCCCAAAATGGGCGGTTTCCCGACTAAAGGTTGCATTTTTTGCGGCCTCTTGGCACCAGAGCTTTGAGCCAAACCCATATGGATCCCATATGGATACCTTTGACCCATGGTTTTTACTATTAAAATATCTAAAATCAACAAAGCTGGGATCATGTGGGGCTACCCCTCTTTATGGAAACCACCAATTCCAAACATTCCCAAGACATGGTTTTAGGGAAACCATCCAGCTATTAGAGTTGTTAATTCGATAATTTTGAACCATACACTTTTTGGTTTAATTACTACGACGTCACGCAGTTATGTTAGCTTAGAATGGAAACCACAGGGCCCCAAATACGGGCGCTTATGAAATTTTATTAATTTACGATTTACATAATTTGGTTTGGCTAACCGAGTATAATCCTTTTGGCACCAGCTAGTCATTGAATGAAATTGATCATAAACCATTAAGAGTACCATTAGGAAAGATAAATATATCACATGAGATCGCCAAGTCAGTGTTAGGAAAAATATAAGCAACAACATATGGCGTAATTCAATACATCCGGTTCTGGGAACGATATAAAACTTCAATCTTCGTAATTAGATAATGTCCAAAATATGTAATCGTTATGAGGTGGGTGCCATGCACAATCGTGCAAAACACAAGCGAAGCGCTAGCTCAGCGCTAGCTTTGCACCAGCATTTTGGCTTCGTTTTAGTCTTTGCGTGTTGCAAGCGCAACCAATGCTCACTTTTCAGGGTTTGGTAGACTGTTTTTGGCGCTGCCTGCGCGCTAGCCCGCGTGCTACCTGTGCGCTCGCCGTGGAAGCGAAACCACACCAGGGACCAGCTGCAGCTCAGAGCTGCACTGCTGACAGAGAATCCTAAGAATTGAAAAACGAATTGCGTTTGCGCACTGGTGAGTTAACTCGAGTGAAATCCAGGATGCCTTCGATAAAGAACCCTTCGAAAAAGAACATCTTTTTGGCTGGGAAGACCTATGCCGCGCTATAGTGTAAATTACAATGTAAAATGGTGCTTCATCTATTTTTCTTAGTGTCATGATGCTACAGAACATGTATTCGCCGAGAGTCGCGCCCCCATGTAAACGCTGGAGTGCCGAAGGTTTGGGGAACAAGGGTTTCGAACGCCAGCCATTTAGAATGATTTTTTGTATACCTATGTATGGAAAACCACCATATAGGAAAAAATAAAAACCAACATGGTTAACCGCAGACGATCACATCGGGATCACGCTCCCGCTCGGATGACACGATCGTCGGTGTCAGGCAGACCACCCGAATCACGGTGAACGTCGAGGTTCCTTGAGGCAGCCGCCGGGGCGGAGTCGACCGGTCACCTCCGGTTAAAACGGTCAGGGGGGTTGGGGAGGCACTTTGGAAGGCCGTTTTAAGGAATTGCTGTTTGAAGTTCCAAGTGATGTGTTTCCCTAAGATACCAAGTAGCACTCTCGAAGTGTTTGAACCGCTTATGTTCGTCTCCCAAAAATGTCACGCAGCCCAGATGTGTTGCCGGTGGAAATGAAAATGTTGAATCAGGCTGAGAACCAAACTCATTGAATCCACAGAACATGTCTTCTCCTGGATTTAAGGGCCAATATCTTGGCTTGCAGAGGGCGCAGGGCCATGCGGTTGGGGCTCGAACGGGTTGAGGATCGGGGCCCGAACGGGTTGTCGCAACCCGACGTAGGGATGGAAGTAGGAGTGGAAGTAGGCATGGGTTTTGCAGGGAGCGCTGGCAGGATATAGTCCGAGTAGTACACCAATGGGCCCCCCTAGTTAGTTGGAGAACTTGTAAAGTGCCGTAACATATGTTATAACATGGGTTTACTGATGTTGTAAGCTGGTCTAAGTTTGTGAAGTGTTCTAAGTTCTTGGTGGTATTTACGTTGGAGTTATAAATTACATTCGATGTATATAAGTAAGTTATCCTAGTTTATGTTGTAGCGTGCTAAATCAATTACAACTTACTTAGGGAACTTAGGTTTTTGAGTTGAAAAGCTGTGTGTTTTGCGGATGGGGTTGCAGAGAAGTGTGTTTTTACTTTTTTGTGTAGTCTTCTTTTTTGCGTAGAACTGAGACTGATCAGCAAATCTTTGTATTTTGTGTTGTATTTTATGGGCGCTACTTTTTTCGGTTTTAGTCGTGAATAATTTGTGGGGTGGTGGTCCACTGAGCGCGGCGGTGGTCCACCGAAGAAATTCAAAACGCATTTTTGTTGTTTTTGCTTTTTTTTCCAGCAAAGCGGCGCGGTGAGTGTTTTATATCAAAAAACCTTGCAACAGCAGCGCTTTCCCAGGTAAAAGCATAGTTTTTCAATGCTGTTCGATTTGGGCCTTGCTATTGGGAAACTTGAAAAAACATTTTTTGAACATCAAAAATCACCAGCTATATAGAACTTACAGAACTTTAAAATTGCGAGAAGAAATCCACTCAACTCACTGAACCGCAGGCCCCGTTTTGAGGTCAAAACAACCTGTCCGCATGGTAGCGGAGCAAGGACGGAGATTTGCATAGCATCTCTCCCGAGCTCCAGGGACAGGAAGGGAGCAGGACCCACACTCCCACATCGCGCCCCGTCTCAAGCTGCGCCCCCGCGGTCCATAAACTGGTGTGGCAGTTTGCTCGCAATCTTTGCTTGCGGGTACTTGACCCTAGTGTTTGAAGCACCTTCGGGGGACTACCCCTTCAAGCTGATTGAGGAACACCTGACGGTCCTACG